AATAACTTACCTGATAGTGTTGTCCGAGCTGCCACTGACCACCAGTCTCTCCCGGTACTGTAGGCAGGCAATGCCGCGCTTGTGTCCGTTCAGCGTGCGCACAAACTCACAGGTAGACGTGTTCCACACCTGAGAAAACACACAAGAGACACATGCATGACACACACACAAACTCACAGGTAGACGTGTTCCACACCTGAGAAAACACACAAATGACACATACATGACACACACACAAACTCACAGGTAGACACATTTTCCACACCTGAGGAAACCACTCACACACATATGTGACACATTCAGGATACATGACACACACATATGTGACACATACAGGATACATGACACACAGATATGTGATACATGATGCACGACACACATATGTGACACATGATACATGACACACACATATGTGACACACGACACATTACACACACCTATGTGACACATACATGATACATGACACACACATATGTGACACACGACACATACATGATACATGACACACACATATGTGACACATACATGATACACACACACATATGTGACACATACATGATACATGCCACACACACATATGTGATACATACATGATACATACACATATGTGACACACACACATGATACATGCCACACACACATATGTGACACATACATGATACATGACACATACATGATACACACACAAATGCGGCACATACATGATACATACATTACATGATACATGACACACACGTGATACATGACACACACATGATACATGACACACACAGTTGTGACACACACACATACATACAAGGCACACACACACACATACAAGGCACACACACACATACATGGCACACACACACATACATGGCACACACACACATACATGGCACACACACACACATGGCACACACATACATGGCACACACACACATACATACATGGCACACATACATACATGGCACACACACACATACATGGCACACATACATACATGGCACACACACACATACATGGCACACGCACACATACATGGCACACGCACACACACACACATACATGGCACACACACATACACACACATACATGGCACACACATACACACATGGCATACACACATACATGACACACACACACATACATGGCACACACACACACATACATGGCACACACACACACATACATGGCACACACACACACACACATACATGGCACACACACACACACACATACATGGCACACACACACACACGGCACACACACACATAAATGGCACAAGGGGAGAGGGAGAAGGGTTGTAGGGGAGGGAGAGGTAGGGGAAAGGGGTGTGTG